GAAAGCCGATTCCATATATCAAAAATAGTGTGTCGGAGCTCATGCGTATAACGGTGCTGACTCAACAGGACCGGTGCATGTTTTTTATTGATCGAACAAAAAATAGTTGACACGATGTTTCAGACATACATTTTTAGAGATGATTCTATATAGGAAACGATAAACAAAATTCAAGTTAAGGTAAATATGTTTCAGAAAGTCCTTATTAAAGAAAGATATGGCATAAAATATGAATTAGTTAATTTTCGGCTATCATTAGCACTGTAGTCGCGAGATTTTGCTTGTGATTTGATATCTTATTTGATTTAGTATCATTTGCTACAACTATGTTGTTTTGAACCACTTAAAACATTTTCACTCGAACAGCGTGCGTGATTCAATTTAAAAATACTTTTCAGAATAAAACCACGTGTTCCGGTTTTGACTTCGTTTATTATTAAACAGCGAAGTTATATACAAAAACGTTAATCCACAATCTAAATTAGGTCCTATCACAAGAAAATCACTGTTACAATTAATTACTTAACCAAAAACCTAAAATACTTTTTAGGTACATAACCTAAAAGGGACTGAAACATTTATCCTAATATTGATTTTCTCTCTCCCTACTTAAGAGTAAAACTTAAAGCAATAACAAATTGCCTATCTACTAGGGTCGGTAACTAAACGTACATACAGAATAGGCGGATTTTGTTCATACAGTTCATCAAATTTCTAGTGGTGTTCGACGCCCAGACAGAGAACGCGCTACGTGTGACTAAGATAGCTATTGTACAGTCTGCTAAACAAGTTATTTTAAATAGTTTTTAATATTTTTAGGTAATTAAGTTTTAAAAGTGTGGAATAGTTTAGGGATTAAATTGGTCTGATTGGACTTTCTTCGAACGTTTTTAAAAGCAGCTAAAGATAGTATGTAGAATTGAAAATAATTATTATGCCATAAAAGGTGTTTTGGAATTCCTTCAACCTTTTGAAATTGAGTCAGAAAATATAAATTTTATAGGATAGCGGAAAATACCTATAATTTTTTTGTAGGCCTTTGTAAATCGTGGAAATAGTTTATATTTTATTTCTACCTTATTAAGGAAAATGGTACCCATTATTAATAACGGTTATTTCTGAAACATTACTAAAATTTTCGAAATTTTGTTTTTCTACAAAATAATAAACTATACTATTTAGAAAAAAATTTATTTCTCTTATAATTTTATAAAAAATAACAGGGGAATATTTACATTTCTTGATCTATTAAACAAAACGATAAATTATCTCGACGAATGACATCATGTTCTAGTACGGAAGCTAGCTTTACATTTTTGTTGGTGGTTTCATGGGTTTCATATCAATTTTTTGTAATTGTAGTTTACACGTACATATACCTCTTAACACTTGTTTGCTTTATTAAAAAAGTGTGTTGTTGTAATTTACGTCGAAATAAGTCAAAAACAACTTGAAACCCCATATAAAATCAAAAAGGAGAAACGGAAAAAATTGAGCCTGTAATTGAACACAACTCAGAAACAAAAATAGCTACCTAATAATAAAAAAATAAAATTTGATTCTTGTGCATCTTCGTTGTAAAAATAGATAATACTTTTTTGATCTTAGGTACAGATATAATTTTAATGGTCTTCCGAAAAACTTTCTTCAGTTTCCATATCAGATTCAAAATCAGTCTCACTGTCACTGTTTAAGTTAATTATAAATCTATCAGTTGCCTCATCCAAAGTAACTTCTCTGTCATAAAATTTAGATTCCCACATTTTAGCATTATTACAACGAGATTGCCACTCCTCTTTAGAAAACGTATCAAAAAAGTCTTCACACAACAGTTGTACGTCTTGCCTCTTAAATGTAGTGTTGTTACTAGCTACATATTGTTTCAATGATGCCCACACTAATTCGATCGGATTAAGATCGGGATGATACGGTGGCAAACGCAAACAACTAAAACCATGTTCATTTATCATTTCTTCAATTGCATACCTCTTAAATCGTGACATGCAATAGCACTAAACTGTATAATTGCGTTTTGAGCATATCCTCTTCGTAAGCAATATTATGATTCCTTAACCAATCCTGCATGTCAGCTTTTTTAGAAGTTGACGTTGGTGCTTTATTTACCTGGACATTATGGTAAGGAGCATTATCAACAATAATGACGCTTCTTGGAGGGAGGTTCGGAAACAGCTTTTCTTTCAACCATTTAGAAAAATTATTATAATTTATTTCATCGTGGTAGTCTCCACTTTTGGTTCCAGATTTGAAAATTAACTGGGCATTCGGAATAAAGCCCATTTCACCTCCTGCATGGACAATAATTAGTCTATCACCTTTATTAATTGGTTTCTTTAATCCCTCATTTGAATTATCACTCCAAGCTTTCTGGTGTGTGTGGGAGGCATGAATGTATGTTTCATCTAAGTAGACAATTGGACGGCCCTCTGCTCGATAACTTTTTAAACGAATCAGATAGTCTAAACGTAGCTTTTGAATATCAAACCTTTCCATTAATATTTTTCTGTTTGTTTTTGTTTTCCGCCAACGAAATCCTAGCGACTTTATTATTTTTCTTAAACTTTCATAGCTTCCTTTGTACCCTGTAGCTTCTCTAAATTTAGTCAGAATTTTTTTTAATGTTGGAACAATATTTTCCGAGATTAACATGAACAGAATAATTCTTCTTAAAATACCTTTGTCAGCTTCATCTATATCATTAACTGTTTTTGGTTTTTTAATGGTTTTTCTTGGTGATGAAAATTCCGATACCTCACGGTTATCGATTCTTTTTCTCTCTCCAGAAATGCGGACGACAGTGTTTTTAGATACTCCTGTGGCTGCAGCAACACGATCATTTACATTTTCAAATGGTATTGAAGGTGAATTAAAGTTTCCTTCTCTTCTCATGAACTCTATAACATTGGCTATTATTTTGCGAGATTGACTGTTAATCACGCGGCCTCTTAATTTGCTATTAAACTCCATACTTAGGTTCTATTAAACTGTAATGAGCAAAAAACACAAACGAAAATAAAAGAAATGTTTTAGCGAAATTTACATCTGACATTTACGTCTGAATAAAATAGTGAAATACTTGATACGCAGAGTGTACTTTCATTGCGTAAATCCGTCGACCCCGCCAACCGATGCCTCTCAGTAGTGCTTTCTCTGTCTAGCCGTCGAAAGCCTCTAGAAATTTGATGAACTGTACTTAACATTACACTCGCGCACTAACACTGGATTAAATATAACTATACATATAAATATTTACAAAGATACTTTTCCAAACAAGCAATCATTAGTACTGTAGTCACGAGATTTTGCTTGTGATTTGACATCTTATTTGATAGTATCATTTGCTACAACTAAATTTAATCTGGGGAGTGCAAAATAGGGGGCAGTTGCTTTTCGCCCAGGAATATTATGTTCCATATTTTTTTACATTTTGTCAGCTAAGACTATGAGTCGTTACTTACAATTAGACAGAAAACCTTTCATGTTACCATTTTCAATATAAATTAAAAAATACTACTACATTTACTTGGTACATATTTTATTTTAATTTTGAACCCTTTTAAAAGGTTCTTTTGGTTCCATAATAAAAATTAGTCGCTGCTTACTAGAAACATGGGCACAATAGATCTTTTAGGTCGCAGTGTATTAACACCCCATTCTCAACATACTAGACACATTCTATATAGTCTAAACCAATTTATTGATTGTTTTATTATTAATTTGGTAGTTATCTCATCGCTATCAGAAATAATAGAAGTGGCATATCATTTAAAATAAAACGGAAATAACAGAACTGTCAGAATATTTTGGATGGAAAGATCATAGCCTGCTTACTATTTTTCCCATCGCTGGACATCCTGTATATAAATATACAGCTCTTTATTTACATAATTATAATTCTTA